GAACCCGTCATCATCCCTAGTGTATGCTTATATGACTATTAATTTAAAGCCTTGAATTTGAATTTGGTAAAGTGAACCTATCTATTCTAATATTAATAAACTTTTCAAAAATGTGCACAAATGAAATCCTTTCACTAGGGTAGAAAGAACCATAGATAATAAAGACATCGTATAAATAACAAGAAACGAATATAAATAAATAAATTTACCGTCCCTCTAAAAAATATGTGAAGGCAAAAAAACAAATTCTACTAAGATAATGATTATAATGAAGGGAATCCGTGAAAAATATAATTTTATCATAGCTTGATTATATTATGTAGCGTAGTAGATAAAAAATGCGTCATAAGTGGAAACTCCAATCAGAATAAATAATAATTTGTATTTAATCCCGAACGAACTTTAGACAAAGGATGAGTTTTCTATAAAATAGTGATAAAAGTCAAACGATAAAAAACTGATAACAATAAATGACTCTATCTGAATAGATACGATTGAGCAGGGCAGTATGGATAAGATGCCGTATAATTTGACTTTATCGATATGATTAGACGAACCTGTAGCTGTAGCATCCAAAGAGACGCGCAGAAAACCCACTAAAGCGCCAGTCTTGATGCGATAACCATCTTTGGCAGTGATGCGTGCTTTTTGACGGAGATTGAGACCAGGCAGACTGAAGAGGCGCACTTGCTCCTCACTAAGAACCAGAAGGTGAGGTGGCACAGAAGAAGCATGGTTGCCGTGGCCAGCAGAGCACACACTTGGATGGTGAGTCATCAAAATACCTGAACACATATGAATAATCGAGTCGGATGAAATATATGAGGACGAAAAGTAATAGATCCTAGGGGAGTTGAGGATAAATTCATGAAATAGAGTAAAATAATATGTGAATAGTAAGAAACCTGCGAAGGCAAGGCACGGTAGAGGTATATAATTTGCAAATAGAACCGGAGTTGTGCCTGCTAATTCCTTTACTTTGAGTTAATAAAAGTGTTAGCAGATTTAAGTGAAGCTGGCTGCTAAGCTTAAATGGCACCTGCACAATGCATCTGGCTAAGATAAAAAAGGCGAAATAAAAACCAGATGAGTCTAGGTATAAAACTTGTCAAAGTTCGAATTGGTTGCACAAGTTCTATCAGGCCGACTTTACGATTCGTTATTTTATGTTAATGAGATATCGAATAAATGACAAAATTAAACTTGAAGATTATAAATGTTACCTCACTGTTGGCAGATGATATACAATTTAGAATGAAATCAAATACACATTTGGCAATATTTGCCGATTTTATTTGATAAAAACGCTGAAGTGATTTTCCAAGACATCCAGCTGTAGGCTTAATAAGATCAAAAAGTTGCGGTCCACAAAAACGTAAGGATGATGCTAGTTGGTGTCAAATAGACATCTCTCAACGCCACCACCTATTGTATTAAGAAGTTTTATCCAGACAGCAGGATAGTAAATTTACTCTTTTGTAGTTGCCTATTTTTGCCGTTTGAGCCAAAATGGAAGTTATACCAATATTTCCTATCAGAGCCTCTTAATAATGATAGAAAATCAAGATTTTTGGTAAGATAAAAATAAAAATTTAACTAAAACGATTGAGTGCATGTGGCTGACATTAAAAGACTTTGATCTAAGGATAAAGGAGTCCGGGTAAATGCACACACCGTTGATGGGGAGTGGGTCATATGTACGCGTGTCAATCAATCGTAGGCTTATTACTGGAGCCCGGTGATGTAGAATTAACTCTTTTGCCGGTTTTACAGCCAGATGAGGAGATGTTATTAGGAGACTGTCAGGCGCCGATGGTGATGAAGGCAACTGTTTCGCAGCAGAGGCGGTTCCAGACCCAGAGGCGGCAAGTTCAATGGACCGGCTGGCAATGAAAAGACTGTAAGCCATTACAATACCCCCAGACGTTCCGACGAAGAATGAACCTAGCGGATCCATTGACGAAGACTGAGAAACGGGATTGGTAGAGAGGCCAGGACTTGTGAGAGAAGGGTTTAAAGCCGGTGAAGGTGGTGATGTTTTGAAAACTGGAGGCCCAAAAGCCAGGCAACGAACCACCGCGACACTGGCAGTATCCTTAGGCCGGTCAGTAATCTCACGCTCAACTCCCATTGGAGGCAGCATCGCTGCGTTGACAGATCCGCAGCCTGAAGCGCGCTGCATTGCCTCCTCCAGTGGATCGTTCATTGTGTACTGTGTCATACTGGTATTACGAGAACTCTGTTAAAAAAAATGTTTATGCAGTTTGTGAGGATGGATGTGGTCAGGATACAACATTTGTTGTACGTTTATAAATGGACTAGTGGTGAGTCTATACACAATGAAATAAAGCTTGGTTTCACATAAAAATTCACTCTGCCATGCACTCCACAAAGCCATTCTCATTCAAACTAGAATTAAGTTTCGACCTCGTATCATCATCACATCAGAATTTCCACGGCCTTTTAAGTGTATAGCAAAAAATACCATCGATTTCACATGGCCCAAGTTTCATCAAGTTAAATCAAAAGTATTAATTTCGAGATGAGGCCTTTATCGGCCTAAATAATATGCTAATGAAATCTATATTTAACTTTGATTAAAACACCCTTATGCGATGCAAGGCGCAATAAATTTTAATGTAAAATCAACTATACTCTTTAATTCAGCGTGACAGGACATCTACAAGTCCCTTTAGCATTGTAATAATATATTAAATTAACAAAGATCATAGTATTAATATGTATAATTTAATAAATAGTAAAAACATACAAAAAAATATAGCAGGCGCAGGGTGCATTTTGAAATTTGCTAGAGAAAAGAGCACAAATAACATCAAAATATAACATGTGACCTTGTACTATGAGAGTCATGCTGAGTGAAACTGAATTAATTAAATAAGAATCTGTCCGAAACACCT